AGATAAATAAAATGTGTAATTTGTAAAATCTAACGAAATGTTCTTTGTAGAATCAAGATTAGTTCGTGCAATATGTTTGAAGAAAAAAGATAATTCAGTAAAGAAATGAAGATTTTTTTTTTGTTCGTGGTAAACGGACAACTACCTAATATAGAATCGGAAGACGGTATTAAGTATCTGCCTTTTCACCAACACCACTTGAATATATGATTTTGTTTAAAAAGCCAGAAGATATATGTAAAAATACATGGAGAAAAAATTCTGTTCATTTTTTTTTCTGTTTTATATTCGGTGATTTTGCAAGCTATCTGGAGGCAATGAAAATTTAGATTTCAATAGAAATTAATCTTTTTCTTTTTAATTGAGTCGTATGATTGAAAAATAAAGATCTCATTTATAACTATGTTATAACACTAAATCGTCTGCATTTTTTTGAACAATCAAACTATTTTCAGTTATTTTACTTAATCCTATAAATAATATAAACATTTCTTTTTGCATGAGTTCTTTATTGTAAGTAAAAGATAAAGATTAACGAACACCTCAAGTAGACAAAGATTATAATGCGTTCACAGCTGATGATATGTGTGTAGCAAACATGCTGGTTCATAAGGGATAAATTTTTTCTCTCATACATAGTTTTCCTTTCCGTTTCATCCTGAATCCAAATACATGTGGAAGATTGGGAAAATATAGATATATGTTTATGTTCTTTTCAAATTCTCCTTGATGTCTAACTTCTTATGGAATGAAGTATTTTCGCTGTAAATGGAACAGTTTCTCCATCAACTGATTTAATTATCCACTGCTGGAGAGAAAACGACTATGTAAATTTTATTACAGGGGTTCTCAAAGGATTAAAGGAAATTCATGACAGTTTATCTACAGAAGAGGAATACCTGAATAGATACCTTTAAAAAAAATGAGACGAATAGAATTTTACAAATTCAAATGCGAAAGTCAATTTCCTGAAACAATCACCTGAAAATCGATAAAAATAAATAGCATTAAAAATTATCGAACGTCCAGTTAGTATTTTGACTATTTGTATGGGAAAAATTGGTTGAACTGATTGAAAAACTTCAGAGAATGCTAAATTCCTTATCTTCTATAACATGTTAGTAAGACCTGTGAGGTCTGCCTATGTTACTCTATCATCGATGTTTGAGTCTCTCAGAAAATTATTCTTAAGGTAAACAATCAAAATTATTGAATGTCTTCTTTAGATGAAAGAATACAAAAAGTAAAAATGAATTTCCTCAAATAAGCATCATTCTTTAAAAATGATTAAGTCAGATCGTGTGAAAGAAAAAAAAAGTCAATGTTCTGATTTTCATATGTACGAATCTCAATTTTTGCTGAATATGAATCGTTGGTAGTTGCAACCGACAAAACGCAATTATTTTGTTTCTGATTTCTCATTTGTCTTTGAAGTCTTGTCTGAAAAAGATAAAATCTTTCTGCCAACAATGGAAAGAGAAAAATATACAGAAGATGACTGAAAAAAATGAAAACGACACTCAATAAAGAAAATGAATGTGTTGTTTTTCAACAATTCATTTGGGTTTAATGTCTGTCATTGTCTAAGAAAAAATTGAAACTACGTTATATTGATTCAGGCATCAAGATAGAAAGAATTTTACCTTTTTCTTTTATTTCTTTTCTGGACTAAATTTCAGTTTGTAAGAGCACGAAGGTGATAGTGGGGATAAGTGAAACTGTGAAAATCAATATAAAATTTTCATCAATATCCACACCCATATTCACATCAGATTGAAATCTTATTGGAGTCAAGGAAAACTCAAAAATAAATACCATTCGTCTGTCATAATCGTTTAAACTAAATTTATGTAAATTAAATATTAAGCAGAAGAGTTTAAAATTAATATTAACTATTAAATAATGTGTTAACACTTAATATTTAGAAAAATTGATTGGTGACCGTTGATATTTTATTATCAATCTTAGGAGTAATGTAATAATGCTTAACTTTATTATAAATTAGAATAAATGATCCGTCTGTACAACAGACGACGAGCAAATTTAATGAATTCAGCAATTTCTGTACGTAATTTTCTTACTCGAAAATTGAGTGAAATTTTTGTTTTAACACTTTGTACGAAAGGTATGAGATATTATGTGATGATGTTTGCAGATAAAAGCTAAACCAGACTCAAACGACATTCGTTTTTTTTCTTATATTGTGATACAAAAGAAATAAAGAGAGAAGAAAAAAATTGCTTGTCTCGAATACAATAATACCAAAACGATTATCTCTACGACGTATAATTCTTCAGGATGTAAGTGCGATAGAACTATTCTGATATCGATTGAACTCCTTCGATAGTCTGACGGTTGTGAGCAATAATAAGATATGCTCTGCATACTGTTGTTGAAAAATACCATTACTTTGATATTGAAATGAAAATCTGCTTAATATTATGTGAGGCAAATTACAATTGAAAGAACAACTATTGAAAAAATTTTTGAACTAAAAGCTGAAATAAAAAAAATTAGCTGGAATGGAAGGGTGTGGGTGTGGGTGGGTGTGGATGTGGGTGTGAGTGTGCATATCGGCCGTAGTGATAGTCACACCTACATGCACAGCCATGCCTACACCCACACCATATATATCAATCGAGGAAGAAAAATATTTTCTAGAGAACTCTATGCACGGTTTCTCACGGAATGATGATCGACTGTATTCGGCAGAGTGATTTGATGAAAATCTGACGAGAACATTGAAAACGTCTTTTAGGCTATTGTTTTAAACATACTTCGCATAAACTTCGTTATTTCTCGCAATTCTCATCTCAGATGAGTTTTAGTCGATTCGTTTGTGTTAAAATATCGATGGATTTCACGTTCAAATGGCTTTTCAATTAGTAAATACCAAATGCACGAAATCTGTTGTGAGACAAGTAGAACAATCGGTAAACTAATCATGACAGCATATGTGACTCAGTACACTTTTAGAGACAGCAGTGGTCCGCCAAAGATAAGCTCGAATCCTATGCGCCAATAAATAAGATATACTAAATAACTCAATTTAGATATTGGTGGGTGTGGGTGTTGATCATTTCTTAAAAAAACCCACAACCACACACCCACTCACACCCACACCCACACCCTAAATTCCAATATGAAAGGAGAAATCCATCCGCATTCACCACCGAAAGGAAGTTTTGGAGCGATTGGATCAGGTAAAAAGCGTTCTTCACGAAAACATTGATCATCTTTTTTTCTCTCTATCCTTTTGATCGGTCTCTGATTATCTTCATTTTGCTTTGAAATTTGAACTTTATGTTTAAAATCAATGTAATAATTATCGAACTCTACATGTGACTGATTCTTAGATGATGCTTCTTCAATAATTAGGCTTTCTACGTCTGAATAATACCTCCATTCTGCTTTTTCAGATTTTGACCAAGGATTGGGATTTCACTTCCACATCCATTCGATGCATTCTGCTTCATTAGTGTTGGTGATGATTTTTTCTGCTATATATGAATTTGAATATTTAATCTGAAATGATAGAAATTTTCAAATTAGTAAGCAACTCGGCGTTTTTGGTTTGTAAGCAAAAAAATAATAAAATCGATTTATGCTGGTGTGTTTGTGAATGTGAGTGAGTCAAATGATAACCACTACTAGTCAGACTCGTGCATCCACACCCACATGTACGCACCGTCAACATTCGACGTTTTTCCTTTCACAAAAGGTTCTAATTTGGGAAAGGAATCGAAGTTGGGTTAATGAAATCTACTGGTATTTCAAATCTAAATATCCATTTGTCGACCGACACTTGATCCATACAAGTTGTGATTTGATCGATCTACTCGGAAAATACAATATCGAAAGCTTAAATTTGCTCCTACAGTCGAATTCCAACAAGTTCAAACAATCTATGAAGTATCATTTTAGCAACAATGATACTCACATATCTACTACCTACTTAGTTGAAGAAAAAAAACTATTTTGCTTTCGAATATGAAAAATAAAAAGTAAGCGTCGTTGACAATAAGAAAAAAGACTATATAGCTTTCTAACAAATGGAAATGAAAGAAAATGTTGTTGACAGAAAGAAAAGAAATTTTGTTTCGAAAGAAACTTGCACTTCTAAACTGTCTGCGATCATCATGAAAAAATATTTTTGTTCTTTATAGCTAGTTATGTACAAACATTCTCATTATAAAAATATTTCGAGTCGAAGTTTGACCTGAATATTTTGAAGGAAGCACTATTTGAGTTGATTCATTTGAAGCAACACTATTGGATGGGTGTGGGATGTGGATGTTAATCGTTGCCGATAGACCCACACCCACACCCTCCTAAGAAAGTACTGTTACTTTCTATTGCATCAAGATCTTATTACTGATGTCTACACGAATAAAAATATTTTAGTGTTGTCAAAGAACTTAAGAAGCTTTCGGAATACTATTCTGCATACAGTTTGAAAAACTCATTTTTGGTCGAATAGACTCTGGTATAGAAAATCGCTAATTTATCGATCGTCCGTAAAGAGAATGAACTTTTCGAATACAGATTCAAAGACTCGTACTTACACAACTTTCTATTGTCACAGGAATGTGCTTGAGTTTACGATAATTGTTTCATTGTATTTAATTACTACATTAAAGACAAACAATACAATTCAACGTATTAGAAACATCAAAACTATTCATCAAGTTTAACAAACTTTTAAAACTTTCGATTAATTAGAGTACATAGGTGAACATCGGCTGTCAATGATATCTCGTTTCAAGGGTTCATATGATTAGAAAAAAGAAATAATTGAAATTCATCTGTAGCATATTCTCGTATTTCATTTCAGTTAAATTCAATAGACGGAAAAAAGCAACGTTGAATCGAATAAAGTATAATTTTTATTAAGAAGCTTTTCCAGCTTTCGTTATGTTTCCATGACAAACAAGTTTACGTTAAGAAAAATGTAGAACCAACGTCGATTTCACCAGAAAATCTGGAAGTTTAAGAGAACTTCATATACGAGTACTACCACCGAAAGAATTATCGAAATCACTTGAACGACGACACTCATCAGAAGATACAACAAAATCTGTAGGACAACTTTCGATTATAACACTAAGCACTCGATCATCAGTAACTACTCCGGCACTGTGTAAAACTATTCCAGCAAGTACATCAAAAACTGAAACAAAACAACCAGTGAAGAAATCCGATGATACAGATGTCATGAAAACGAAAATTAACACTGTTGAAGATGAAATTCGTCGCCTTAAATAACATGCCGAAGAATTAGAAAAAGAAATAGCCAACTTAGGAACACAAGTCAAAATAGAAGATAAACGTCTTACAGAATCGATCGAATGTTCTTTTGATTTCCTTTTTGATGCTTTTCTCTTTGATGTTTTCAACCAATCCATAAACTACTTCACTTTGCCATTAGATCGTGATTTTTTCATAATACTATATTTTGTTTTTAAGATTCATTGTTTACATCAAGTTTATACTGATAATAAAAATAGTTTTACACATTTTCTCTTTTTTTTTACTGAAATCAGTTCCATTTTATTGACTCTAGAACGGACGAAGTTTTTTCTTCTGCATATTTCTTTTGTTTGCATATTTTGTTTTTCTTAACAGCACTGTGATTGACTCGTTTTGAATGTCTTTTAGATGGATGAAACACTATAAATGAACTCAAATTTCATGAATGATGCTTTCTGACCCATCTGCTATTCGTTTATTGTTAATTAAGTGACGGTCCAGGAGAACCTCGAGCATAGTCATACTCTCGAAAAAACTTGCCTCTTGTTTTATGATCGGAAATGAAAGAGCAAAGTAGGAAACTTACAAATCCAAAATTTTGGCTCATTCTGTTTGACCAGTAAAAAGCTATGAAGTAAACATTGAATCCATCCTCAATATTTCTTCAAAAACAAAATTTATTTTTGGGTGTGGGTGTGGGTGTGGATGGGTGTGTGCGCGAATTATTGTTTCTTTTGAGAGAGGAAAACTCTGATCCACACACATGACACTCATCCACGGCCACACCTACTCGCATCCCACGCGATATTGGCATGTTCAATAAATTCATACATTTGTCTTTCTAGCCAAATTGGATATCACCAAATGGTAAACGGAAGGTAGATTGACACCATATTTTATCAAATTTGAGTATGCATTTAGCACACCTGTGTTGCAGAAGCTAACGCTTTAAAGTTGCTCAATGAACAGAAGAGCATCTGTTTTGTTTTGAAGTATACTCAATTTCTTTGGTACTCAAATACTTTCAGAAAATAGCATAGCTTGACAAGTGCCTGTGGTGTAGTGGTAACATCGCTGTTTGTCGTACAGCAGCCGCGGGTTCGATTCCTGACTGGCACGTAATATTTTGTCCTGTTTTTTGTTGTACATCGATGTAATTACAAAAATACATAAAGCGAGTATCGGTTCTGATAAGAAATTAAGTTGTATAAACATCTAGACTCTCAAGGTGGCGGCAGCGGGATAGTCGTACGCCGTTCACTTCTGCCGTTATCCAATTACATCCCAACTTTTACTGTCACATACACTGATGTTCAACTATACACACTAAATCAAGTCCCTACCTTTTCCAGTTCACAACTACAGCGCTGTGAAAAATTATAGACTCATCCTACTCTTGTGACCTCTGTCGAATTTTTTTCTTTATTAATGTTGATTTGTCATTGCAAATTCAACGCCAATATATAGATTCAGATGTGTTTTTTCAATATTTATTGCAATAAATATTGAAAAAACACATCTGAATCTATATATTGGCGTTGAATTTGCAATGACAAATCAACTTTAATAAAGAAAAAAATTCGACAGAGGTCACAAGAGTAGGGTGAGTCTATAATTTTTCATAGCACTGTAGATAGACGCACGGGTTCAGTCATTTATATTCAACTTAGTCCCTCATTCAGCTACGCGTACTTGACCGGTTTCTATCCGCCACAAATGCACATACACAGAACTGGATGCGCGCCTTCATCTGTCCGTGCTCACCCAATCCTTAGTGAGAGCTACTGCGCAAAATGCGACTCCTAAACTGTCTATAGTTGGTCCGATGCACAGCTTTGTCAACCCATAATTAACGAAATACGCATTTCATTCCGTCGCAGTCTATCTAAGCTCTCGCTTGTCACTCATTCTCATTCAAATGCTCTCCCTATCTGCGTAAACGGTTCCCCGCTTTCATCTATCCGACCTCGCTTCGATTTCGAACCTTCACCCAGCTATCGATACTCTGAGGTGCAGCTTTGTCAACCTACACGCAAATCATCTTTGATCTGTACCGAGCCACAGTGGACTTTATCATCGAGCGGTTTCACACCGACGAGTACGAAAAGCCGATGCCCGTACTCTCACCCAAAACAAAACTCCGAGTTGCCGATATATCTTTTTTTAGTGAGATTGAAAAAATTCACTGAAACAAATATTTGCAAGAGAAAGTGAAAGAAAGCTGCTTTTTTTTGTATGCACACACTGTCAACATTCTTGACTACTACATGAATATAAGCGAAGGAAAGAGAAATATTTTTTGCTGAAGAAAGAAATGTATGGTCGACAATAAATATTTTACCAACGAGTTGAAGCGACAAGGGGCGCTCGGAGGAATAGAGTATCCACACCTCCACTCACACACACATACTTACGCTGCACATGCCGGTTTCAAAACTTGAGTATGTTTTGAGGATGTAAATGAAACTGCTTGAGTACGGATTACAGCTTGGGATTCGGTTCGAGTCTATCAACTATGGTTGTGGGTGTACTTCTACAGTTGGCGACACGATAGTGGCCTATTAGGGTGCGGGTGTGGGTGTGGGTGTGGAGTCTGATTCTATGTTTTTTTCTTTTTGTATCTCGACACCCACACCCACATCCGCATCCAGGCGCGTCTGGAAAACGTGCCTGGACGCAATGATGACTTCAAGCGCATCCAGATGCGTCCACGAAACGCGCTTGCACGCGACTATTGCTTCGAACGCATTCAACTGCGTTTTCATTTTTACAATTACGAAACGTGTTTCTAATCTAGATGCGTCTAGATGCGATCATTAAATTGGACGCGTTCAGATACGTCTGTGAAACGCGCCTGAACGCGTTTTATTTACATTTGTTACCGTAGCCGCGTCTACATGCGGTTAAAACGCGTTAAAACGCGTCCGGTGTGCGTTTGGGTTTTACATGGGATGACTCATTTATAGTTTCTTCGCATCGAAAACATTATTCTGTATTATAACGAAAAATAAAAATAAACTAACATCCCTAATAATCACTCATAGTTTTTCTTTGCGGTAGGGTGAGGCTAAGGGTGGATAAGATTTCGTAATACCTTGAAATTCTTATCTCAGTAAATATATAAAGCGCATATAGGTGAGTTTTGTTTTTGCAGTTAAAATATCGCCGTTATATTGACATAAAACAAAATGGCTTCAATCGATCAATACGAGTCGTTGAAAAGTGATGGTACATGGCAAGATCGTTTGACTTATGTTGTATCATTGTCTGATAAGAATGAAATCGAAAATCATTTAAAAAAATCCGCATCGACGTCGTACGATGATTTACAGATGCTTATTTTTCTATCATGGTTAACAAAGAATGATAAAAATCTCTTGGAAATATTCAAATCACCTTCATTTCCAACAAGACAACGAGCGATAGCTTGTCAACGTTGGCTTCTGCTACAAAAAGATAAAAAGCAAATTCTTGAGTTCCTCATAACTTTCATTAATGATAAAACGATACCTCGATAGTAAGTTTATTTTTGATCCCTATCCATCATAAAAACATGCGCTCGTTTGTTCTGTTTAGTTTAAAACAAAAAATGGTGAAAAAACTCTGTCATATCGATGTTTTGAGAAAATCTCCTTCATTTTTTTATGATACAGCTTGTCATTTAATTGACTCAAATAATTATAGTCGATACAATTTTGCTGCTTATTTACTACCTTTTTGTAAAACCGATCAGATTATTGATCTTTTATCTCGATGGTCAATAAAAGGTTTTGAACAAATTGATCGTTCAACGACATTGCGCTCAAGATTAATCGATCTTCAACCTTCGATTGCTATTCAACTTATGAAAGCTGATTTAGATGCATTGAAAGTTCATTCAACAAAATTTGCCGATTATTTTCAACGAAATGGAATTTTAATGAATTCACTGTCGAAGAAGGTACCAAAAGAAGTAGTCTGTTTAGCAGTTGAATATTTAAATCAATTACAACCATCGATTCGATCAATACCAGCCCTTATAGTGTCGCATCTGACATATTTTTTTAAGAAAGCTCCTAATGAAATGATTCAGTTGATCACCACGATAGCTTCGATTCAACCAGGTTTTTGTTTTAGTTACTTCTTACTTGAGACATCAAATTTTCTTTGAAAATTTATTTAGGTATATTACGTGAGAGTGATTCTTGGAGATACAGTTCTCAAGAAACCAATTCATTATCGTTGCCCCGTTCATTCTCCATTGAAAGTCACGTTCGTCTATTTCTTGCTTTATACAATATTTGTAAATGGTCGTCGAATAATACCGTTCAAATTTTTCGCTTAATGTTAAAGAGTGAAAAGGAAAAGATTAGTATCTCTCGGCTACAAAAAGAACGCAAGTGGTTGATTGATAATATTATAGAAAAGCATATTGGAAAAGAATTATTTTTAAAAAAATTATTAGAAGAAGGTAGAAGAGCGGATCTTGACCTCTTCGAAAAATACCCAGAAATTACAACACCACTTTCAATTCATTTATTAGCACAGCATGAAAGTAATAACATCGTAACAGATAGTACACGTTTAGAATTTATCCGTTATCAATCAATGACACAAAATCTGTACGATAAATTTTTATTACTAATGAAAAATACAGGTTCCGATGTATTTCAACGTCGAAAAAACTATGTACTGCTTTTTCAATGTGCTTTGTTAACGAATCAACAATTTGTTAAAACTGTCCTTCAATTCATTGCAAAAAGATTTGCCAATGAACAATTGATCGTTATTGAATATCTTTTAAACTATTTAACTTCAGCGCAGGCGAAATTACATTTTCAAATTTTACCAGATAATCTTGAATCAATTGAAACAATCATAAATATAGCAATGAATCATTTGCAAGAATCGTATCGTATTCGAAGTGCAATTCCTACCTACGGTTCAAATTTACTACAATGTGTTGAATATTATCGAAATCAAGAAG